TGCCGCCCTCATTTCCATAGGTCATTGTCATGGGTCCTGGCCGGTGCCAGTATATTTACTTTTGATTCATTTCCTGGGGAAAATAAGCCTGTGGGCTGAGGAGATACACGAGAGTTCCAAGTGTGTTACGTACTATACCCAATGATATGACCATTCACTAATTTTCGATGAACGATTGCTAGGAAGAACAATCTCGTTGAACCTACTTCAGTCATAATCTTCCGTCACGCAGGGTTTCGGATGCGCGAACCATCTTCCGAGCTTACAAAAGTGCCATCAATAGGACACCTTTGGATGGATTTCCTCGGAGCTTGGTGGACGAAAAAATAACGTCTACCTTCTATTATTCATCCTTGCCCTCGTGGGGGCACCGTGGCATCATGCCCTCAATTTACCGGACGTATGTTCACATATTTTAATTTCGCCGAGGACAAGCTACCCGCAAGATTTCTACGAAATGCCCAGTCTGTACAGATGATTTTAAAAATGGTGTAAATGTTTAGACTCTTTGACTTCTCCCCCTAACCCTAATGTAATAAACGCTTGCCTTACTTGCAGAGTATTCCTATGGGCCTCTTGTTTAATTGTTGTAATGAATAATTATCTACAGCTGTGACTAAGAATTTTCTTACGTGTTCTACGTAATTGACCAACTAATTATTTCGTTCGCTTTGTAATATTACGCAAGTGCAGATTATTAACGCCCATGGATAACTAGCTCCTAGCCGTCCATACCTAGTGCTCGCGCTTCCTGGGCACTACCTATAACATCAGTTCTTTGTGTATTTCCATAGAGACATTATTTCCTGTAATACAATCATTAACCATGGGATTAAACGGTCTATCAAAAGAGGGTATTTCACGAATGTTCGCATAATTCAATACCTCAGCTTAATGTTCCTTGGCGTATTGACTTTTCGTTTCAGTTAACCTTATTTGGCGCAAGGTAAAGGCTCTACTTTCTGGAAGGTCTATTCCTTGCGTGTGGGATAAAATAGGCGAGATAAGCTTAGTAAAACACGAAATCTCTAGTTTCGTAGCTGTGAAGCTGTAACTTTGTAGGAAGTGAGCGAACACCCCTCGACTGACAACTTGGACGATCCATACGTAGCCTCCCGTAACTTCTCCGAGGCTACCTTATCGCCTCAAGGGTGTAATTGGGTTCTTCTCGGCTCATTACATGACTATCCTTTGCAACATAGTCTCGGTATTTAAGCACATTTAATGGCATATAAAATAAATAAAAAACTAGATACATAGTCAGGCAGCATGTCGAAAACCGATAGGATTGATCTGTGAGTTGATGTGAATCAGCCATTTTAAGGCCGAAAAGGAATGACGTGGCTAAGCTTGGCCTAAAACCAGGCACCCCGTTGCCCAACCCCTGACTCGTGTGCGGCTAGTTTTCCACTCCAAAAGATGGGTAGGACCAGTAGGAGAATCATGGTGTCCGCCTAGCGTCCATTAGCTCTGGGAAACCAAGCATGCTGTACGATTCTCATATCTACAAACATACTGCCTGGTTTCTTAGTTCAATTGTTCACCCCCAAGTCAATGTGGCTACTCTGACTGAGCTGGAGGGGCTTTCTTAGCAAGCAGATTTAGAGGCATACAAAGGGGCGCAGGAGATCAACACATTCCACAAAATTGATCAAACATGTGACCCGTTAAAGTTAGTCAGGATCCTTCGTAGACCTCGGAACTGCAGTAGCTGGTAAATAGTTGATAGACGCTGCTGTTTCCAGACTGTACCTGATGAATTGTCGCCGATCTTTTGATATACACCGACATTTCGATATTCTTCAAACCTTCATAACTCTGCCAATATGACTTTACTTGAGGCGACACTATGAGATCGGAAGCTTGAAACCAGGGAGAATTATAAATTATACAGTACAAGAATTGTCTATAAGTATGGTAGAAACAGGTCTACACTATCTCGACGTTCCCGTAGTGTACAACATACACGAGCAGAGCAATATTATAATCAACGAATCTTCAACGAGCAGGCCAAACTTATTAAGAAATGGGTTAATGATCCAGGTGCAAATACATAAACAGTTCAGCCTCCTCCCGACTACCACAGAATTGATACCCTGTGCAATACAATATCAATCTGAAGGGCACTGGGCATTGCAACACCAGTTCCTGTCTGGCCCCTCTGAAACGACAGTTTTTGTAACAGCATAGCCAATTTGATTTTTGGCCTGTAGCTTAAATGGTGGTCCCAACTCCTCATACTCTTTCTCCACAAAATTTTCTTGGTTGATTACCTGCTGCTTTATAAAAGATCAATCTCGCGTAGCCCTGGTTTATCATTTTTGATCAAATTGCATATGTACCTACCATACAGCAAGATAATATCAGTTAGTATTTCGGAATTAGGAATATGGAAGAGCGCAAATGGTACACAGACCCCTGGACCAACTATATCAGTGAAACATTATATTTAGGTATATAATAATACAAGCTAGGGCTGTTGTCAGTGCTGGATGAGAGTCTAGGAACTCTGCATCAGAAGCTAGCATTGAAGTGTTGAAGCTTGCTGTGGTTGACACTCTTGCTGTGCTTCCCATTGGTTTGGAAGAACTAGTTGGTATTTGGGGCAGGCCATATACGCTGGTACCCTGATTGTGCGAACTCGAGGTAGCGAGTGGAGCTTTGTGATATGTACTGGTACTGCAGCAAGACAAGTTATCTTTTATTTTACTTGAATGCGTGGGCATGTAGCCAGACCTGTGGGAAGTTTTGGTAATTGCGGTATTATTAACGGGATAAGGAGCTCCACTAAATGTAGGCTTTCTGAAAATCCCGGAAGGAATCCTTGAGCTATTGTTTCTTGGGAGAGCCGGTGTTGGTGTGATCACTGTGATTGGTAAAGTTTGACCTGGCAGGCGATGTGTTCTCACTATGCTTCTAGACTGAATACTTCTTTGGGATGTATATGGGACGATATAATGAAAATCAACGTCGCCGTGATTGACAATGAGACACCCACCCAGACAAACGAAAATGGAGTAAATTACTACCCTTATCAGCATTGTAGGGCTATTGTATGATCACTGAATGTGTAAACTATTATGTATCGATTGCAGTTTCATTCAAAGGCTGCTGTATGCAATGGGTATGCTTTTTACTCTAAACTGCTCATCTGCATACCACTCTCGATGTTGATACAGAGCTTTTATACACATTCCTCATTACCCCCCATTTATCTGGACCGTCCTTGTCCTCCCCTCCTCTTTGGACACCATCCAGAAGTCAGTTTTACGCCGACATGCCAAAGTGTATACTAGGCCTAGTAAACGGTGAGGAATGCTCTGCAAATAGAGCCCCGGTGACGGTTGTTACCTTTCTTTTCTCGGGCCCTCAACAAAGAAGGGCCACTAAGCACAGTGAGCTATATGAATGCTTGGCATCTTGTTCAAATAGAGCGCCAGGAGGTGATAATCAACCTCCAGGTCCTACGTAATACTGGCATTAAAAAATGGATCTTGCGGCTTTAAATGAGACCGTCAACGACGCTGCCGGAAAAGCCCAGAAGAACGAAGGTCTTTCTGCTCAGTCATTCTTAATCTCTTTGGCTGTTTCTGGAAGCATCTTCATACCTGTCGTGTATATCTTCACCTTTCTAAAAGATATAAATCATAAGCTTTTGTAAGTAGGCACGTTCGATTGATAATATAAGATATTAACAAAGCCGCAGCCAACCACAATGCTTGGCGGATCCCGATCTCTTGCCCTTGCCCAAGGGCAGAACTGTTTGGGTTAAACAATTATGGGAATTCATGAAGGATGATACGGAACTCACCGCTAGACTTTCATTGGACTGTCGCTTCTTCCTGCGGCTGCTACGAGTCGCCGTGAAGCTCTTCATGCCAATAGCTGTTATTATCCTTCCCATACTGCTTCCGGTGAATTACACTGCTGATAGCATAAAGGTCGGGGGTCTTGATAGATTCAGCATATCAAACATCCAAAAAGAACAACACATAAGATGGTGGATCACAGCCTTTGCTGCAACCTTGGCAAATATTCATATATGGCGTCTTTTGCTTGTGGAATTTAGATTGGTTGTGAAGACAAGACAGAACTACTTTCACGAGTGGTTCTTAGCTCAAAAAGTGGCTACAATAGTGGTTACCAACATCCCACCGGGAATGTGGAATGACGAGTCTTTGAGACAGATCTATTCGGCTTTTAATGGAGGACCGGTGGATGTAATCCTACCACAACAAGATGTCTGCGATAACAAGGAACTCAAACTGAGTACCCTTCTCAGAGACCGTGACACAATGATGCGAATACGTCCCCAGATATCTAGGACAAGCATTGTTCCCTCAAGCATTAGACTCATGGCTTATTTCCGGAACAAAGGGCTTCTTGAATGCAGAATTCGCAATCTGCAAAGAGACATTGAAAGAACTAAGAGTATTGCGTTATTCCACTTCTCAGACCTGTTCACGGCCCATCTGCTGCTACAAGCAAGGACATCTTCGATACCACTAGAACTAGAAGCACATAAAACTGACGTTGAAACCCTGGATCCTGCCTTCTACTATAGTAAGTTTTCGAAGACTCTGCGAAGTGTTAGTATCCTCGTGACCCTAAATGTTTTGGCCGTACTTTGGGCTATTCCAATATCCTTGACAGGCCTTTTGTCACAGCTTGTTTACCTGGATTCGATTAACTCGCATTTACATAACCTATCAGACGATCAACTAGGTGCCATTCAGGGGCTGGCTCCTCAAATGGCAGCATCCATTCTTATGTACTGTTTCCCGGTCGTTCTTCAGTTTCTGATGAAATACTACATTGCATTTGAGCGCCCAACTCTCGAGGTCTTGCTACAAAGACATTACTTTCTTTTTCTTTACACTCAGCTTTTTATTGTAGTTTCAATATCTTCTGGCGTCACAACTATGATCCCGGAGATTGCCAATGATGTTCAATCGGTACCGGCATTATTGGCCAAGAATTTGCCCAAGTCGGGCAATTACTTTTATTCCTACTTCTTATTGCAAACTGTTACACAAACCGTTTTAGTATTATTGCGACTACCTGATAGCCTTTGGATGTGTTTAAGACGAGGTGGGGAAGAGCATACCTTAAAAGAGGTACGATGGAGCCTACTTTATCCCGTTTTCACAAATCTTATCTGTATAGGTACGTGTTAAATCTGTCACAGGCTGATGCTCCCACTGACACAAGAACATCTAGGTATTATCTTTTCTATAATATCACCCCTTATAGCACTTATCGGGACTATAGTGTTCGGAATTTTGCTGATAACACATACCTATCAATCGATATATATACTCGGAACAAAGGAGGACACCGCAGGCTTATTATACTGGGAAGCACTGAATCAACTTTTTGTCGGTGTATACACCATGGACCTCTTCCTCATAGGTCTTTTTATTTTACAGAATGTTTTAGGACCTATGATTGTTGCCATTATCCTACTTGCCGGGTCTGCCCTAGTACAGAATTATGTTCGGACAAAACTGCATCCCCTTATCAAGTTTGTGTCTGCGAGCAGAAATGAATTCGGTAGTTAGTAATTTGTGTTTTAAGGAATAGTATATTACAGAAGTATCTTTTATATCCGGTCATCTATCACGGCTGCTGCTTTGGTTCTTTATATGTATACGTATGATAACAGGGTGAATCTTAGGATCGAGTTTGTCTTCAAGGAATGCCGTGCATTTCAGATTATCCGACTATCAAACCGTTTCTCAGCTGATAATATGGTATCGTATCCCAGCGTTACCGCCTAAACCTCTTTTCTTTCTTCCACAACCATGGTTTCTAAGAGACAGTGGTGCATGTACCAAAGGTCTGCTATTTATTAAGAAGTCTACAGGAGCGGCTAATATAGAACTGGGCATTTCTATGGATGATATAAAAGCCACATATGGAGGAAGGGGCCATCTGGATAAAGAATGGGGCTTAGGTAACCCCATTGAGAAGGACTCTTTTAAGGCAGTGACTGGTTTCGCGGAAGGTTCTGGCACTTTCCGAGCATTATACTATGCCTACATATATAAAAACTGTATAATTAGTGTCAGTATACGTGAAGCTTATATAAATAGAGGGTAGGACAGTCAATCTATATTCCGTCCCGGCTGTATACACTCGCTTGACCTATTTCACAATCCTATAGTGCACTTAACATCCAAAGCCCAAACTTTTAAGTTTACTATAGCCAACCGAATGTGACATCAGAGCCCGCCAAGATTTACCTTATTTGGTCCCCGTCCATATCAATCTTGAAGGGGCTATCACCGAATTAACTGAGACAATCAGGCTATCAATCTATCATGTGACTTTAACAGTATAAATACAGCTTTTGTGCTCGGCTTCCACAACTGTCTCTTACCATTCTTAAAATCTAAGCTATCTCTCGCTCGATTGTTCCGGCTTCAATCACCATGGTAAGTGAATTGTTCGCCACACGTATGATTATGGTCATCTTTAAAACTAAATGCTCTTAGGATGTTACAGCTTCATTGCAGCACGTGTCCAGGATCCTGTGTCACAGGGCCTCAGAAAATAAAATGACTTATTTTGTTGCGGGTGTCGCCTCTGCGAGCGAGGATGGAGTCAGGGAGGCCCGACTAGAATCGTGTCGCAAACGGGACATACCGAAGCGAGAGGAACTCTGCTCTTCTGGAATGACCTGGACTATCTGTGGTCTATTTGTCAAGATTGGGTCAAAAGGCTCTCGTCTACCAGTTGCTGACCTTCTACGCACAGTGCGAAAAAGGACTATGTTTGATCTCCTTATTTGCTTTTGGATTGATGAGGAGTCAATTATACAGTTCTCTCCTGACCTACATAGCACTTACTCCACAAGTCCTGGTACGTAATTCAGATAATTAACGAAAGTTAATACTAATATCTCTGGCTCAAGATACGTGTGATTATAAAACTATTCCTCGGCGTGTATATGCGGGTATGACGGTTGTCCGCACCAGGAGAAAAGGATTGCCGGAAGGATGGTCGCAGCCTCGCCGCTCTAAAAGAATCAAAGCACTGCTGAAGGAGCGCGAATCATCAGGTGGAACTTCTAAGAGCAACTAGAAGAACAGACAACGTGTTACATAAATCAATCACTATACTTAGTGGAGCACCATACATATGGCTTGTAAAGTTTTTGCACTGAAGGAAAGTAAACTATATTCTATATATAGGGATTCTACTTTGAGCCTTCCGAGGCTTAAGATAAGCTATATGAGCAATCTAATTGGGTTAACATGCATTTTCAATTGGTTTATACTCTGATTAGGTTCTATTTACTTTCACCCTATTTTTCTCTGAAAGAAGCGAGTGATTTAGACAAGCGGTTATAAGGAAGATTGGCTTGGATGCGCCTGTGGCATAAGTAAAGCAATTGTAAATATCCTTCGGTGTCGGTAAGCTTTTTCGAGGACAATTTTGTCGACTCATACGATCATTGAAACCCGCTTTCTAATTGACATTTACTTGAGAAATTTTGCAAGAAATCAATGCTAGTCGGACACTGCATATAATCGCTTTTTAATGTTGTATTTCTACATTTACATATCTATAAAAAACACGGAATCAGCCGAGGGTCTCTGGAAGACATGGTTTAAAATCTCTCTGCCTTGGGCAATACCATTATTTTGATCGTGTGGGCCTACGACCTTTACTAAGTGGACTCTCATGTAACCATTCTATAGCGCAATCATCTTCACTATTGAGTATATAACGACTATTCTCTAGGTCACTGTCCAGATCTAGATAGATTTTGGTTCCTTCCCACATAATTCCGGTCGGTCAAATTGTGGCGACGAGAACCTTACCAAGCATCAACCCTCCCTAATCGCCTTAAACAAAAACACCAGGCTATATAGTTTACTATCACTCTAAAGCGTTCAACAAAACAAAAGCTCGACAGAAAGCCAAAAAATGAATTAAAAATAAAAGTAAAAGTAAAGATCACGACTAAATACCAGCACAGACCATCAAACTTCCAGCCATATCAATAGGCTTTTGCCGCTCGGTCTATATATGACAAACTGCTCGGATCTAGATATACTATTAAGGTACTTAATTGGGCTGGTGCTTTAAATTGAGTGCCTTTAGTAAGGTTCCCAATGAGGCGGTTCATCTAAGCTCCTGACAGCGGGACAATGTCCAACTTGCTGGTGAAGTGTAACAAGGACCACTATACAGGCTAGACAGTCTGTCAACTAGTTAAGATGTGAGAGAGGAAAACCGTTTATTATTGACTTAATTGTAAAAGGAGTGCTAGTAGACTATTTTTATCTCTTTTTTCCTTGTTTGATGCCATTTTTGAATGGCTTAGAGGGCTCACATATTTGATGGAGTTCCGGCATCACAAAAAGACCCCATATCCCAGATAACCTTTCACCGGGCCAGATCAGATAATGAGATGGGCAGCAGTGAGTGTGAACTCGAGGTGTTTAGAGTCTGGGAGAAGTGTATAGCCCACGGGCCAACTCTATCTGTGAGAAGGATTAGGGATGTTCTTTTCCTGTACCCCACTCTCCTCTTCTCTTTTATTTCTTTCTTTTACGTGTTTCCTTCTTCTCTCTTTTTTTTTTGGTCCTTTATTAATCTTCGGGGCTATGTTTGGAAATAGCCTATTATTCGTTTAATTATCTCTTTCCAACTTTCTCTAGGCAATCCATACCTATAAATATGGGTATCTCCGGCAAGAACATCTTCCCAAGTACAACAAATACATTCCAAAAACTTTAATCCAAGGGACCCCCTACTAGTGCTACTAAACAAGCAATGGATGCTTCATTGATAATATCTTTATCAGCAGATTATAAAAATGTTACTATTCACTTAGGACCTTGTCCAAACACTGGGGCACTGTCCTCTGAAGAAGGGAAGGTTAACAACGACATAAAGCTTAATCTCAAAATTTATGGGGTTCCCAGCATGGATATCAAAGCTTTAGTACCGGGTTTCCCAAGACATCCAATGTATTTTGGATGACTTACTCAAAACATTTATCCGTCTTAAGAGATCTCCGTCGGTTGACACATCCATCACAATCGCTAGAAGCTTTGGAAAAAGATACAGTGCCGCCCAAAATCGTCCTCCACCTCATATACACATAGAGCTGTTTCCAAACCCGAAATGCGAGAATATACTAGTTCTTATGTGGTTACCTCCATATTGACACTCGGCTTTGACCTCGAATGGTATGGCATAGCAAATAACACTGATACTTAGTCATTGAAAGCTGTATCATATAGATTTTACTTTGAAGAGGCTTTATTATTACAAAAGGATGCGCTTTAAACAGGGTTTCAAGTATACCTTACAAGGGCTCAAGCCGGCATTTGTTCTACTTTACTTAATTGCCTATTGAGCAGTATTTTTGGGTTGTACAGAGTTATGCTTGGTGTAAGTTGTTGACCGCGAGTTCCCGTTCTGGCCTAACGCCTACGCGCACCTTTGTTAGATAGTTACGTAGCTAAGATATTACAAGTAGAATAATCAACAATTTCAATCTCTTTGACAGTTTCTCTTAAGTTGATTAATTTAGCTTCAGACTACTGAATCGCTTCAATGTATTGAAAAGCACGAAAGTACAGTTTTGAATCACTACACTGCTACCCAATACAGGATAGGTTAAGGCGGGATTAGCAGTTTCATTTGAGTCCCTATCTCAAGTGTCTCGCCCATTCTGAGGTTTTGAAAGGGTTACTGAATAAATGATTTTTGTCAGAGTCCTGGCAATGGGGCCACAATATAATTTTCATGTACTTGCTGGTGAAGGATACATCGCCAGAAACTATGCTGGCAGGATGATCCAGCTGCTAAGTCATCTTATATGGTTGAAATTGCCGTCAACACAAGCACTCATAATCAAGAGCTATACATTAGCCCACCGGCATATAATACTAGTCTCCAATGGTCTTATAGTAACTATAACATGCAGTCTGCTCGATACAGGGTCGTTATAGAGAGGTAGACAGACGTTTAATAAACTTACGAATCTAGACGCAAAATGGAGGAAGATATGATTAGTACGTAGGAAGATAATTCAAAAGCTTATTGTTGATTGCACTTCTTTGTGGAAATCCCTGCACTATTAAATGGCTATGTGCAGTACTGCACAGTATAAATGCGCGTACATAAAAACATGTACATATTATCCGCCTCTTATAATATCCATTACTTGGCGGAAGATGTTCTCATCTACCCAACCATTGATCCAAATTTGCGTCACTGGACCATCTTTCCCACTTATTTCTCTCTCATCAAGTACCGATATGTCTCCATAAATACCTACTCCATCCTTGGGATAAGTGAGCATTGAGCAGAAGTTGACCAGATACAGTATGGAGGCGCACTCATACATACCACTTGGCTACTTGTGCTGTCATCAGACGATGTTTCCATAGTATCGCTAGGAGAATAGCTCTTTTCATAATGCTCAGTAGGTAAATCGTCTTCCGTATCTATAAAGAGCCTGTCTGAATTTGTTTCGGTGTACTCTGACTCAGACTCTGTGTCCGTGAACTGGATATCCAAACTATCCTCCATATCATCCTCAATGCTTTTCAAAGGTGTGTTCGGGTCCCATTCAAGACTTTGTGCCATATCGAGTTTAACTGGTTTGAGCAGTGCTGGCGATAATAGGATAAGACATGACATTGGAGGCAGTGGATTAATATCTTTATATAATTACGCACCAAGTCATACTAGCCGTGATATTTTCCATTCATCCTGAGTTCTTCTATACCTTTCTCCTCAATTTCAAGAACCTATCATATTTGGAGGGGTTAGGGCCTGGAAACATCCCAGTTTGGCTTCCTCCAGCAAATCTTGAGGTCATCAACCGTCTTCGGCATTTATTAAAGTGATCTTATATGACGGGTATAGAGTAAAGCCAGATGGGTTAACAAGGTTTAACTCACTATTAAACACTCTACCAACGGAAACACTATATGTTAGGGCAAGGTGAGGGGTGTGGAGTTCAGCAAGAGTTGGGCCCTTTTCAAAACTGCTACTCTTATTTTGTATCAGGCATCTGCTGGGAAGATACATTACTGCTAAAATATCTATCTAAAATATATGCTGCTCTAAATGAGAATGTCCTTGTCTTCTTGATGTTGTGCTATTATAGTGCATCTTCCATTAATGCCAACCATAGATTAAACACTCTCTATATTTTATAAAACATGAAATGGAAGCTGATGAGACACAAGAACGCTAATCATTATGTAAACTCAAATACTAGGACTATCTAGTCTTGTGTGTTTGGTCAACAGGTGTATGATATACAAATTTCACTTTTACTTTCCTATCTGTCACTCCCCATCCAGAACGTAAAGATCTTCAATTTCCGTCTTTCTAAAAAATAGCGATAATGGACGCAGTAGCTAGAGAAACCGACTCTGGGACTACCCCAACTAATAAAATAAATGTTTCTAATATATACATGTAAGTGGCAGTTGTATTATTGAACCATGAACGGGAAAATTGGGGCTGTCTCTCCCTGTTTAGTAAGATATAAAGACTAATCATATACATCACTATCCATCCATGTCAAAGGTTGCTGTACCTTCAAACTGATATGAGGGCCTCTCTTAGCAGGGAAATCTGTACGTCCGTTGTCAAATGCCACACTACCTACAGAAAGCTCCTGAGTAAAGCTTCAAGCTTCTCACCCAGATTGCTCGTTCGGAGAACCTCCCCAAGCAGCTAGAATTACCACCAGTGGAGCATCTTAAAAGTACCACCAACCACAGTTGATATTGATACAATTGGTAGTTTTAATACGATTTCAAGTGGCACAGGATCATCAAACACCATTGGCCGAGAGAAGGCTGACGGCAACCTGGCAACTGCTATTAGTGCGATATTTCATGGCATTTGACTACAGAAACTCTTGAAAACATCTTCAGCACTACAAGAGAACCAATTAGTGCTTTTCCAACTTCTGGAGAAATTATGGCCCTGTTGGCATCCGCCCGTACCCCAATGAAAACTGCCAGCTCTCAAGGCACGACCCCGGTCATTCCAATTAATTCAACTACATTGAAAGGGAACTTCCATTCAAGTACTACTGCTGGGCCAACTCCATTTCTATCTAGTCAGCAAGTACGGAGTACTTCATTTCCAGATGGGACCTTTATCTCAGATATCGAAAATTCCTGGAAAACATACACAAGGCTGCTTCCACGTGATACTTCAGGTAGCCAACTGTCTACTTCTGTCGGTACTCAAAACAGATATTCTTCTTGGATAGAAGAGGACCTACGAAATTCTCAGACAATAGACTCAGGCTCTGGTGAACAGATTACTATCGCAGGAGATACGCACTTCGAGATCATTACATTCACTGGGATGAGCTCGGCTTCACGCCCCGAGCATATCAACCATTGTTCCGTTCAGCATCAAGAAACAGAAGTCAACCATGATAATGATTTCTTACTTGAAGTCTTTCCTGACACTGAATCGACTCACTCAGTTATGTCCGATTCGGTCTTGACGAATCCAGTTTACGCACATTCAACTCAGCACGGATGTGTTTCTGACTTAGCATCTACGGATAAATTATCTCATCCTGATGATAATAGGCCGTTTATGCCTTCAGCATCGATTAGACCCAGCGAGAACTTTCAAGATACCACCGTCACCACAGGTAACTCTATCGTGGGACCGTCGTCTGGTATATCAGACTCCTTGTCCAATACAACTACCTCCCATGGCGTAAAGAAAAGGAGCATCTTAATTTCTGTTGGCGTTGTCTCAGTAGCTGTTTGTTTTTTTGTCCTTATATTTGAATGGAGTCGGCGTAGGAACAAACGCAGAGGTGTCATCTGGATTGGATTTTCACCGGAACCAAACTGCGATGCGCAGGACCCAAGCAAATCATATTTCTCCATAGATTGACTTACTTGGATTATTCCATAACCTAATGATCACACTCAATGGATGTATAACGAACCAACCCAAGTTAAAATAGTCAGCTACCGGCGCTATTCTTCAATTGCAAGAGCGTCTGCATTACATTGCCTTGCATACACATCCCCTACATTCACTTGTCGCTAGCCTGGTATATAAAGCAGTCGCGGGGAACATATTAAGCCATGGCCTTACACAGCCGCCTAAAGAAATATGTTTGGGAGCCAGTAGGCCAATTTCCTGGCGAAGTTGCCTCGAAGAAAACAAGCGAAGTTTGGATACATCCTGATGGTTGATATATTATTGTGTCCCTCTCTATTATTCATTATAATAATTAAATTACTCTTTATAATGAGCACACACGTCAATGGGAAAAAGTAAATCAGCAAGAGAGCGGGGAGGGGAAGGAGAAGGAGGAAAAGAGAGAACAAGAGAAACGAGAAAGCTAAGGCGCCCCAAAGTCATGAGAATTCGTGTCTTCCTGCGTCCTTGAACCTGGAGATGGTTGAGTTATGCCGATCATCATATTCGGAGCTTGCCATGAGCTTCTCTCTGCACTTGGAGGCACCCTCTTACAAGCCTTTAAGAGATCCGACTCTACCGCAACCAGACCCAGTTTAGATACAAGGATAAACAGAAATTGCTTGAGCGCGGGTAAGGTAGCTGTGATTATAATCAAGTTGGACTCAACACCACTACTCTCGTAAATTGTCAGAAAATTTCTATGAGGAATGAATGGACGCCGGGTACGTACACTAATAAAGCAACAGGTGCAATCTTGTACGTTAGGTCAGGAGAACTCAGAAGAGGGACTGTAAACCTAAGCCTGATAGCGCTTGCAACAAACGTGCTAGCTGGCTGTGAGCAATAATATATTTATAACTAACAGGAGAGGTGTGGATTTCTTTCATATCACTCACATGCATACCATTACCAGAATGATAAAGGTCTTAATCTTTTGGGACCTTGGGACCTGTAGATCAGAGATGACCGGGATAGGTAACAAGATTAGAAGGAAGTCGGAGATAATGTTCAGCACAGCAACAGCTACTAGGATAGCAGGTCGATTGATACATTGACCTTGCAATGTGACATCCCAGGACTTCGAGATCGGGCGGCAGGCAAATATAAAACAAAAAACCAGAGTTATCGATCCAATGATTACGAAGGCAGTAACTCCGTATAATGCGTGGCGCAACCAGCTTTTCGCAATCATTAAACGGTGAAACAATACTAGATGTGCGATTCTCGCAAGACATATTCCAGTAATGAAAAGACACGCTGCTGTAAGAAAGAGCTATTGGATTTTATTAGCTAGCTCAAGCGAAGTAAAATTAGTATGATACAAGAAGATTACCTTTTCATAAGTGCTGATCGTTTGTACTGAGAGGTATTCAATATGACGCCCTAAACCTGCGTGGTCTAGAGCATCTAATATGTGAACCTTGTATTAGCAAGAATTCATTCACCATGTAGAAGCTTCCGCGTACAAAGGATCACAATTTGCGTACCAACGCAAAATCCCTCGTGCTTTGTTAATACATCCAATTTGGTCAAAGCCTTTCGAGTCTACTCACCCAAGCAATAGTAAGGCACACTATTATATCAACGGCAAGATTAGTAATAATAGGCTAACCACCCTCCCTTGCACGCCTTGATAGGTCTGGAATAATGATATTTTGTGATGCTAGATTATAGAGGAACAACTATATCAATATGAACAAAACAAAGAGGATGTGTGCGACTGTGGGTTTAAGAAATGACGAAAAAAAAAAAAAAAAAAAAACTCACAATCTTCAGCGGTGATCTTCCGGAGAATCTGGTGCCTAGTCAATAACCTTATGGCTAGGCAAGTTGTACTTAAAACCAATCCAATGATGACTGTATAATGAATACCAGATGATGATTGTTGTCTGGTATCGCTCGTTGGCCTTGTGCCTACTACAAACAGGGCAAGATTGCTCCTGACAAGAACTGTCATGCTCAGCTGTAGTATATATAAGTAGTGCTTCGCACAACATTGACAATATCAGAGGTAGCCAGGACAATTTAATTCATCTGTTAGCGTTTCTCCCTTTTAAAGGCAGACATTAAACTAAGGTTCGTAGATTGTGGAGTGTAGGTGGAACAACGATCCTATCCTATTGCATAAGTTGGATTTACAAAAGAAGTACATCTTTTCGAGTTCCATTTTCACACCTTCACATGGCTTCTTTGGCTTGTACTTAATTTTAGTTTTACATGGTAGTATTCAGATCTGATCGGTAACTCTACGTCCTGTCTGGATCTTCAAACTAGAAACGCGAACATGTGGTTGTGCTATGACAGGTGGAGACACTTCAACTGGTACCAACAGCCGGCGTTGAGCTACCGTTGAATATTGATCTCACTCTACTATTACAGTACACATATAGATTCATGCATCACTAGATTTTGCAGCTTGACACGCTCTTGCTGTCGATCTTAATGCTTCAGGCTTCGCAAGCTTGTAAATAATATAAAACATAATGATTTCAGGGTTTATGACAACTTCATCAAAGGAAGATTGAGGTGCTACATACCAAGATACTCCACCCTCACTTCTAGAAGAATTGTAATATTAGAATTTATGGCTTTCAATCTTCGTGTCAGAATTTATCGACACCTGTTTTACAATAATCATTTGTGCAGAGAGGCAGTAGTCTGAGAACTGAGAAAGATTCAAGGTATAAACAAATACAACAACACAGTATGGCTCCTGCGATTGGTTGCAAGAGACAAGTAAACATCCACATTAATTGGATTTTGGAGGGGTACTGCCCTGCCCAGACAATATCGGACAAAGGTTAACATCGATTCAGAGAAGTGGGATCGTATGGACCGAACGTGGGTTGATAACTAGGCAACTATTCATGACATGCATTTGCACTGGTACTCGCCTCATTCAAGGGTTTTTATCCAAGGTTGGTATATTTCAATTTGCAAATCTGCCAGCATGCTGTTCAGGCAGCTATTGGTGACCAAGTACTACTATGTGTATAAGCCATTCAATATTCATGTGCCACTAGCAAGAGGAGACTAATACCATCTCGGTATTACTATGGTCACAATAGGCCGCCATACAGAAAGGCCCGCATCCACCTGAGTTCAGGTGGGCTGCCATCCCTATTAGTTTGTGAGGGTCCTTATGTTCGACCTCCTGCTCAAGGGCGTGTTGGACTCTGATGCTGGTCCACCATTGCCAGCCACTGTGGGAATACTAGCGCCCCACATGGACCCTAACCGAGGTAATCTCACGTGATTATATCCACTGCGCGCGGTTATTAAAGGGCCAGATCCCCCAGGTGTGTCGCTGGTTTGATCCCATGGGTTGTGTCGTCGGCTCGATTCCATTAGGCGTATCACTAGTTGATCCCATTAGGTGTATCGCTGGTTTGATCCCATGGGTTGTGTCGCTGGCTTGATCCTAATAGGCGTGTCGCTAGTTTGATCCCATGGGTTGTGTTGTTGACTCGATCCCATTAGGCGTGTCGCTGGCTCGTTCCCATGAGGTGTGTCGCTGGCTTGACCCCATGGGTTGTGTCGCTGGCTTGATCCCATTAGGCGTGTCGCTGGTTTGATCCCATGGGTTGTGTTGTTGGCTCGATCCCAATAGGCGTGTCGTTGCCTCGGCCCCATGAGGCGTATCCCTGGTTAATCCCATTAGGCGTATCGCTAGCTTGATCCCTCTTCAGCGAAGTGCAGGTACCTCATCGCGGTGCTGAAGTCTAGTACCCCTTTGGGGGGAAGCCAAAACCTGCTCGTTCCCACGTAATTTGCATAATTCTTTGCATTCTAGCTAGCTATAAAATTTTACAAAGTATTCCTCAAATCACAAGTCCAAGCAGTATGTAACTTTGCATAGCCCCAAGACCATCTAGCTTCCGGCGCTTATTGCAGCCGCAAAGTTCTTGCTGGTAGTGCCCGCGACAGAACTGGCTTGTCACGGCGTTGCAGTGACTGCCAGTCTTGCGGGTCTCCTGGTTTTAGTCCTCGCAAACATGGTAGCTACATGTACAGCCTCGCCCGTACCTGCTCTGAATTTAGCATCCTGGCGATCCCGTGAGAGATGTCTTTTGGCTCCCTGCGGACGATGCCCTCAGAGTAATGCCACAGACCCCTTAACGTGAACGTTACCTGCATCTTGGTATTCTGCCAGAAGCAAAAAGGTCGAGTATGTTCAACGGCTTAATGGCTCAACAACTTAACAACTTAACAACTTAGCAGATCAGCAGCTCAACAGTTCAACAGTTCAGCTTGAACATTGAACATTGAACGTTGAACAAGTGTTCACGGACTGCTGAACACTTCCTGACTACTATTGAGGACACAAACTAGCCCGCCCCACTGACAAACTTACGGTCTTGGCGCCCAGCACACTGTTCATGCCGAACGCGCAGTCTTCGTGTTCAACCCTGTGTCCGACAGGGTCACCTCGCGCTTTATCCTCTCCATCTACATCCCAGACAGCACTCGGAGTCGGACATTACAACATACAACAGGCACGTTCAGTCGAGACTGTCGGTCACGCATACGGAAGCACCAACTCCGTCTCGGGCCGGCGACGTCGCTCGCCCGTAAGAGGTGGTCACAAAGGGATACCGACAGGTTCGGAGGGGTCTGTCTTTCGTGACAGACGTTGGAGAGGGCTGGGGGGACCCCTGTTGGGCGCCACTACGACGCTACCGATCTGTGGCACTATCCTTGGCCGTTCTTGTTCCCTAACCGGCCACGACAAGGCCTTGAGCG